ACACACACTCTGCTATTTCTCTCTCTCGCCGCTCTGTTTTTTTTTTTTTTGACAGGGAGAGAAAAAGAGAAAGACATACATTCTTCGTTTTTTTTTCAACCCAGCATTTCTCACTCCTGCCTCCGCCTTCGCTCCCCCTCCACCGCCGCAGCGTAGCTGCGGCAGGTCCACTTGTTAAAAGATAAAAAAAAGTGGGGTAGAAGGCGCTGGGATGACCATAACTACCACTTTCAGGACACTGATGTTGAGTCCCCTAAGACTGTACAAGGATACATGGAATTGTCTACATAGGCTTTAGGAAGGAAGGGACACAGAGATAGCAAGTGATAGTAAGTGACATGGAGCTAGCTAAAAGAAAGGCTCAAAGGTACAAGAGGGGTTTTGCGTACTGTCAAGGCAGCCCAAACAGAGGATAAGATGGATAAAATGAGAGTTGGACAAAGGCAGACAAAGTTGGAAAGCCATGACATAGTAACGGGCGACTACCGTCTTCACCCGAATAGAGCGCCCAGTTATTATAGCTGTATCTGGACTGAAAAGTGCACCGAATACGGTTTTAATGACCGGGCGTTCTATTCGGGTGAAGACGGTAGTCCCACAAGGGTTAGACTGTTCCCCTTCTCTGATCTGATCTCCCCCCTTCCTTGGATGTACAAACATGCTTGCCAGTGATAAGCAACCGGCCTGTTGCCCCCCAGAATAGAAGGGGCCTTGTGTTGTTTGGGGAACTTTGGGGAAAAAGAAAAAAGAAAAAAAACTACAGGAACAGATGTTTTCCATCTATTATCAACGCAGCATAGCACGTCATCAGGCAAGTAAAGAGAAGGTACACAACTTGGGCATAGGCAACACATGATGGGTATGAACTGTGATGACCATCTCGACCAGAAACACAAAAATCCTCGTAAAAAGTGAACAGCTCCTCAAACGCACTTCCAACTTTGGTCATCACTGCATATTTAGTATTTACCATAGTTTCTGCGCACCTCGGTGCACGGATTTGCGCACGCGTTGCGCACCACACCGCACAGCGCACCGAAGCGCACCGCACTGGAAAATTTAGGTCCAAAAAAAAAAAAAAGCAGGCGTTTTGTAATTTCTTAAGGCCCCCAACTCGGCAAAAATGTTCGAGTTCAGAAACCGGCTGCGCCCCCGGCCCAAATTTTTACTTTGGGCAACGGCTGCCGAATTTCGATTTCTGCAGGCACTTCCCCCAAAAGTTTCAAAATGGCGAATCATAAAATAGCCAACATTCCAACTTCTTTTTCAGGCAGGGTGTGGAAACTGGCCTTCCCCCTCCCTGCTGCAAATCCCACGCAGTGGTGGGAAAATTTCACACGAAGGGGGTAGTTGCCCAATAGCGACCTGCCCCCCAAAGCTTCGCAGAAGTCACAAGATGTGTTTTGCACGGCCAGCCGACCACCAGTATATGCTGAAGATTGGCATTCAGGTCTGCACGTCGGCAGTTATGGGTTAGGAATTCAGGATGAAGATGCCTGCAGCTCTCTCGTTTTTTTGTTTTTGTTTTCTTATGAATACGTACAGTGGGGCCTGCTCCACTACTCACCACATGCACAAAAGACATAGCATATGGCGGTGTATTGTTCCATGTTCTAGCAGAAGATTCATTCTGCTACTGTGGAATAGGAACCGGAGAGAACCGGACTGGCGCTCCCCAGAATGGATAAGGAGCCATGGCCATAAGGCCCTGCTTCCCCCCCCCCCCCCCCAAAAAAAAAAAAAACAGTGGATGGAGGAAGGAATAAGGAAAGGCAGGAGAGATACCTGGTACAAGATCCCAGCCCTTGAAGTCGCCACCACCGTCCGATTGATCGCCATCACCGCTTCTGCTTTGCCAGCAACATTAGGGAGATCATGAGGTATATACACCCACTGAATGCCATTCCAGTACCGCTCAAATATGCTTCCACTTTGTCCGACCATCCAAAGAGAAGTTTCCAAAAACTTCGCCATTGATACCGTCGCGGAGTTGAAGAGAAATAACCCCGAACGGTAGCGCCCGCTGGAGCTGCTCTCGTTAGCAAGCTCTCGACCGTCCTCCTGCTCTCCATGGACCTTCGATTCTCCCTTGGAATTCGATTTCTGCCCCACTTTTCCCTCAACCTCTTCCTCTGCACGAACCCCTCCCCCACTTTCTAAGAGAAGATGAGTGATATCCACAGGGTTCCAGCTGTTGCTGGCTCGGTCGTACGACCAGAACCCCTCAGTGCTCTGCAGCACCGACCGGAGGTCCAGTTCCCCCCATGTACGGAAATCGTGACCTGCCACAGGGAAGGATGGCACTAAAAAAGCCACACACATGGGGCCAAAGAACCCCAGCATCAGCATCAGCAAATCCGCCCAATTCCTCCTGTACCCGCGCCTCTGTTTCATTGCCATTATCCTCGTTCGGGACTGGAACGAAGAATCAAAATGCGCATGCAAAAGCTTCAATGCTGTGATTGATGACTACCCTCTCACACTAAGATTATCTACTGTCCTCCGACGTAAGTCCATACTACAATCTGTCATAGGGCAATTTTTGCCACCTGTCAAATTCCCAAGCCTTCTATGGGCCAAGGGCACGCCCTCGCCCCGTCCATTAACCCCTCTGGCAACGTAATCCCTGGGCCTGAAATCAACTAAGCAGCAGGAATCACAGTCCAGTTACAGCAAGCATTCTTGTTCACCGCCCCTCTTCTCCTCGTCAAGCACTTCCACTCGTTGCGGCACTGGCTTTCTGCTACCCTAAAACTCCTCAACCATAGGCCCTGAGGTTCCTGAACTGATTTGCCGGGCAACATTTCGCATCTGTGCCAGTGGATAGAACAAAACATCGGCTTCCCTCCCCGGAAGTAGGCACATATCGCAATCACCCTACGGAATTCTCCCAACTCGCCACCTCTCATGGGTTCTCCTCCACAAGGATCAAGCTTCATGAACATAACCATCCTCCTTGTGCTAAGATTCAGCTTCCCCAAGCTTCAGCTTCCCTCCCCGGAAGTAGGCACATATCACAATCACCCTACGGCATTCTCCCAGCTCACGGCCTCTCATGCGTTCTCCACCACAAGGATCAAGCTTCGTGAACATAATCATCCTCCTTGTGCTTAGAATTCAGCTTCCCCAAGCTTCAAGCTAATCACACCGCCAAGATCAGAATCATCAGGCTTATTTGGCCTTCTCCTTCCCGAACCCTCTCCAATGCAACGAACCCTCATTCCTTCTGTTTAAACTCTCTCCGGCCGCTATTAAAACCCAAACCCTACCCATCTTTTCCTCCACACATCATCCAGGGTTCACTACAAAACCTAAACCCTAGTCTAAACCCTAGACACTAGAACGTTCCCGTTCAGAACCGGAACACTCTAGAGTCTTTCTGCACTTTAGCAACACGAACATGCCTCTTACGCACTGATGAACGGAAGTTTCGACCTCTGCATACTTGATAGGAGGCAGTTATACATGCACTGTACCCATCAGGATTTGAACGCATAACCTGCATATCAACAGCTATATATGCCTGCCATTCAGCAATCGGCCAAGTACAGTGCATCCTTTTACATCGAGGAACCCATGATCATTGCTTCTCGTGCATCTTGTCATTCTCGACGCTTTTTTTGTTGTTGTATCCCAGCCAGGTTCGTCGAACAGGGTCACATTCTTTCAGAACCGGGTCATTGAAAACACTGACTTCACATCCGATCCCCTGACCGATCGGCCAGGTACAGTGCATCCTTTTACTTCAGGGAACCCATGATCATTGCTTCTTGCGCATCTTGTCATTCTCGACGCTTCCTGTTTTTTGTATCCCAGCCAGGTTCGTCGAACAGGATCACATTCTTTCAGAACCAGGTCATTGAGAACACCGGCTTTACATCCGATCCCCCTTGAGACCGATACTTCATCTTGTCATCTGCCTTAGCAGCTGAAATTTCTGAAGAACATCATCATCATCAATCACCAATCAGTAATTAGTAATTACTCATTACCCATACCACCATCAGTTAGCTTTCAGGAAAACTCAAAACAGTAGGGATGGGACATACTCACATAAGTGAAGAATGGGACAGATTTCTGGTCATGCTAATTTGCCTCGATCCTTCAAATCGATTAAAAAATACTCCTTCACAGCCACATTCTGTACAATCCAAGCAAGATGCAGGTTTCAAAAGCGCACGAGGAGGGGGGTGCTGCGGAACACAATCTCATGAACCGTGGCCGCAGAGAACGTAAATGCAAAAAGCAGTTCGGAATGGATAGTGAAAGCAACTTGTGCAGCCTCGAAACCGAGAAGAGCGGAGAGAATCCGCGTAGATCAAGGAGAACATACAAACAAAGAGCTCAACAGAAAATAGCAAAAGCAAATGCCACGAGCAAAGAGAATTGCAAAACGTAAAAAATGCAAAAACAGCAGAGACAATCGCAAAGATACACGCAAAGAGCACGGAGAATCGCAAACATGAAAGCAAAGAGCAGAGAAAATTCTCAAGCATGGATGTGAAGAGCAGACCTGGATGACAATTAGGCCGTCGCCGCACACAGCACACGGAATGAAAAACGAAACGAGTGCATTTTCCCCCAGAAAATGGACAGGTTCATCCGTTTGCTATAAATACTAAATAGTCACAAATGTATTTTACTATCTTGCCACAGTTTGAGGGGAGATGCACTCAGTTTTTGTTTTTTTGTCGTTTCGTGTGCCATGCGGCGAGGCCCTTAGTTCGATGTGACGTTGGCAAAGAGTCCCAGGACTGCTGTTCGGTCCAAGTTGCCTGCCCGTTGGTAGGGCAATGGTCCTGAGTGCTGGTCACACTGAGGTAGAATAGTGGGATAGGGGGTGCGCTAGGAGTATTGACGTGAGGATGGGTTGGGAGGTGGTCTCATATTCCAGGACACCCACGGCTCACAGTTCCAGGTGATCACTGTGCACACACTGACTGGCCTCAAGAACACACTGGACTTAAAAAAAAAAAAAAAAAAAAAAAAAAAAAAAAACAAACAAACAAACAAACAAACAAACAAACAAACAAACAAACAAACAAACAAACAAACAAACAAACAAACAAACAAGGACTTGTGTTAAAGGACTGCTGAAGTAAGGTGTCAAAGGACAGCACACAAGCAATTAGCAGGTTTATGCCACATTGTCCCACCCAGGGGCCCAAAATTGCCCCCCTGCTGCTTTCAGCGGCAGTGCCGGAAACTATGAGTGCAGGCTTTTACAAAAAGCCTGAGGCTTTTACAAAAAGCCTGGAATAAACTCAGGGGCATGGATTGAATGCTGCTCTTACGGAAAAGAGAATACATAAAAATCCTGAGTGGGGATCCGCGCCGCCCGGGTGACCGGCAGCGGCCCGGGGGAGGTCCCGGGCGGCCTGGCCGGGCAGGGCACCCGGTTGGGGTCCGGGCCCCCCCAGCGCACTCACCTGTCGGGGGATTTCGGACCCCCTTTGTGTGTGTGTGTGTGTGTGTGAGAGAGAGAGAGAGAGAGAGAGAGATGTGTTCGAATCATACTTGCAACGTATCTCATGCGCGGGGTGCCGCACGCACATGCACGCACGCACAAGTGATGCGGCGCATTAAAAAAATAGAAAAACAAAAATGTCCTAGTTGTGTCCAGCCTCTTTTCGGAAGGATCCCTACAGCATATTAGCTAGGACCCGATGTCATGCAGAGATACACTTCAAACTTATACTCGCTGAGGGTGGGCAGAGAAGATATAGTCTGGATTTGAATTCAGGTCTGTGCATGTCGGTTATGGGTCACCATTTCTCTGTCTCGCTTTTCTTTTCTTTTCTCGTTCTTCTTTTCTCAGGAATACGTGCAGTGGCCCTAAGGGCCTTTACTCACCAAATGCACAAAAGACAAAACATATGGTGGCGTATTATTCCATGTTCTGCAGAAGATTCATTCTAATTTTGCACATTTCGTGAGTAGTGCAGCCAAGCCCTAAGAGTCACGTGCAGAGACCAACAGGCCCTAGCTACGTGAGCAACCCATAATTGATGAAACACAGACCTGAATTCGAAGCTTGAGTATATATTCGGCCAGCTCGTGCTCTCTTTCATATTCACTACCTGCCTCGATTTTGGTGGGGGAGTCTGCGCTACATGTCTGCGAGGACCCTTCAGATAGCCTGCATGGGCCGTCTGAGCCATGTTAAGGGGATCCGTTCTCTCTCTCTCTCTCTCTCTCTCTCTCTCTCTCTCTCTCTCTCTCTCTCTCTCTCTCTCTCTCTCT